AAAAACTTCAAATAAAATTGGCAAACTTAACAAACTTAAAAAATTTTGAGTCGACTCAATTCGTTCAAATTCCAGTAGAATGAAGATAGAATTCGAAAGGTAAAAGAAGAGCTACGTATCTATCCAAAAGGAACTGATGATCTCATACAAAGCATATTAGATGAGATGGAATTTTTTCGACTAAAGGTACAAGGTTGAGAATGTTGAACCTATACCCTCATTTTATTACATGAAAAACTCGAGGTAGACAACTCCAAAATGGGGGTTTTGTGTTTGGGGGGGGGGGGCATTATTTGTATCTAACTTCAAACATAACATGATTCACATACTTTTAATGCATATACAGATTCATATTACTTGGGTGGTTAGTCAAGTTTAAACCATGTCTGAATCATCTGACTCACTCTCCCGGTTTTCCTGCCATCTCGAACCCATTTTGAACTTACACAGGGCACGTGCCTTGCTGCCGCAGCCATGGATCAATACACCAAGTGAAACTGAAAAGATGACATTCTTTTCAATATATATAATATGATGACAAAGGAAAACATGAATAGATCGTAAAATATAACCTGATGCAAACATGGCAAGCTCCGAACAAGCTCCCCTCTGTTAACTTGATCCAAGCAAATAGTACAAGTTAGTTCATCTTCAGAAGCCTTCACACTCCTATCGGCCGTCCTAGAATCTTGTTTTGGCTGGAAACATATACTTATAATTCAGAAAGAGGCACAGACAAATATAAATTATCTTGAAAGCATAAATGCCCTCTATGATTATATGGATACCACAACAGGGGCAGATGAAGATGATGCCTGCTTCAGTGATGATCCAGCACTGTAAAAATAATAAAAATCAATGTGATTACGAGTTTGGTTAAAAGAAACCCAAATGCTACTTCATGACTGAAGCAAGCTACCTCTCTGGACTAGGAACCTTGTACTTGTCAACGGGAAAGGCATTTATCTCGTCCTCACTCATTGAAGGAGTTGTGGAAGTAGTATCAGAATCCAATGCTCTCAGGGTGTCATAATCTGGAACAGAAGGAAAGAAAATGATAATCTTCATATAACCGAACAAAATACAACCAAAACTCTCTTTTTAATATCTGTCGATGCATGTTAAAACCAACTCATGGAATCTTATGACTGAATTTTGAAAAAAGCACCATACCTAGATCATCAAATTCCTGGTCAAGAAGTGCAAGTTGGAGTCTTAGTCCTTGTAAGCGTCCTCTTGTAGCAAAAGCAATTGATGGTGGCATGTGCAAACGCAACTCAGTGTGACCAAGCAAACCACTAGCTGCTGCAGCATGAGCTCGGGCCTGCGCTTGAAGTTGCTGACAAGTTGCATACATCCTTAGACTTGTAGCCATTAGAAAGACGCCCACTACTAGCCAAAGCTGCAGAGAAGATAACTGCATGATTGCAATGCATCAACAGCCACAGCAGCATGCTCCCAGTCATTGTATAGTTTGTACATACCAGAAAGTTAAGTGACATTTGATGAGAGTTTAAAATCATGAACAACAAAAGAACTGCTGAAAACAAAGAAGAATAGGTTAGAAATGCAAGTTAAAGGCACAAGGAATGATTAGAGAAAAAGTTTTTAACAGATGTAATGGGAAAAAAGAAATAAACATATGCGACTAGAAACAATACCTGTAACAAGAAAGGCCAGTGAATTGGAGTTAACTGGTTGAGCTGCATGTATACGCTGGAAACAAAAATCTGGTTAACTGAAGGGTAAAATGTACTAATGTGGAAAGGCAAATATACCACAGCCAGATGTTCAGGAATAAATCCTGAAAACCGCTCTCAATATCCCCTCTAGTCCGAAAAACAGAAATTCCACTAGTCTAAAAGGCGGTAAATACAAACAATTTCTTCTCTTGGAACCTCTCAAATGCTATGATATTACAAAAAGTGAATACTGTTACAAGTCATTACAGTCAAACAAAACACAGATAGCAAGTAAATCATGCTTAACTAAAATGAAATTTACTCAATTGGTCTAAAAGAAACCAAGATTGACTAGTTCAAAGGATGATAATGATAAAGCTGATAACCCATCCCAATTACTTATCAGAAGAAGCAAAGTTGTATTTAAGTATAAATGATGAAATCAACTCTTCACAAATACTTCATCCTTCACGTAATCGATGCCTTACCATTTGCTCTTAAAAACAAATAAAATATGTTATTCTACTCGCAAGTTGACCATTTCTGAGCCAATTCTTTTTCTTGAGGCTCAAATAGAATACTCTTACTTTCAGCATATGACTACAAAAATTGACTAATCTATCAACAAGCCTCAAATGGTCATTATAAAACTAGAGGTTTCAATGTTGTTAATGCAAGTCATGACCAGAAGACATTAAAAATCCCCAAACTCAAAAGAAAAAAGCACTTGTAAAATGAATGGAACCCAACATGGGAAAGAACTAAAAGATCATAAAATTTCAGTGGAAATAAATTCATAGTAAATTTAGTAATCTCAATAAGCACAGATAAAAACAATCAAGACCTAAAGATCCAATTTAATGATTCAAAGCACGACAGGTTCAAGTAGCATTAAAGCTCAACACATATGACACTAAAGAAATCCAATAGAAAATTAGTTCAGCTTTTAAAACCATCATATCTTTATTTCTCAGTTCCCACATAAAGTAACTTAAAAAAAAGCCAACGCATCGAATTGTTTATAAATTGCAATGGCAATTTCCTTGTCAGTTGCACTATTTTAGTAATTAAATTTTATCTTTAAAGCACCACCCTCTAAAGTATAGTTAACAAGATATTATGCTAATTAAGACATACTTTACACATACTCAGAAGCAAAAGATTCAAAGTTTATGATTCAAATTCCTTCCTTTTAAAAAAAATATTTGACCACATTTTAAAAAAAATGACATATAAAGACTGAATCATCCGCTATATCAAGCGAAATGAATAATTGAATTAAAAAGAAGGTGAATAAACATATTAACACAGAGGCCTACATTGTCCATTTGTCCTTTATGAATTAAAATCACAAGAAAAAAGAAAAAAACGATTTTCCAGGTCTTTATTGAATGATGAGGAGAAATCGCAAGGAAAAAAAATCAAAAGAGAAGTCTCAGTTTTCCACCGCTTTCTCCGCAAACAAACAGAATTCGTTGCAAAGTAACACAGAAAAATGAACTTACTCGAGAAAACCGAAGATGAATCGATCTAACGGCCGTACTATTAACTGCACAGCATGAGAAATTTGAGAGAAAATAAAATAAGAAATGCAAGAAAACTTGTATGTTTCTCTTCCTTGTTTCTTTGCTGTTGCGATTGAGTGACACGTGCACTCCATTTGGATCTAACCGCTGCCACGCCTTGTTGACAGCGTGGATGACTTAATATTAGCCGTTGGATCTCTCATCTGTGAATCACCCTCGATAAGATCATCCATTTAATCTTGGCAGATGGATAAAATTGTAGTTATATTTAAATAAATAAAACCAATTCATATAAGATAAATAAAAAACACAAATAAATCATAAAATTTTAGATTGCAATTTAACTCATAAATTTATGAAATTATTTTGTATATAGAGAGTGGAGTTTCGTTGCAATCTTTATGTTTAGTCGGTGGGACCTCTTTTTCTATCTCCGTGTCTCTGCCCGTCTCGTGATGTTTCGTCCTAAACCAAACCTAAGCCTATCGAGCACGTTGCAGTTAAAATTTGCCCCCCGCTATGCCTAATGGTTTCACACTTTTGAGAATACTTTATTTCTTTCATAACACTTGGACAATGGGACCAACTCAGGATCTGACTAATTCCTTTCTCTCAATATATATAACATTATTGCCAAACCAGCAACTTCTGGATTTTATATTTGCCAGCTTGCGTTTTTATTTTCTTAATTTTGCCTTTTAGCCCTCGGACTTAAAGGGTATTTGCTGATGAATAATAGGATAGTCTCGTTAATAGTTGATGGTTTATCCCATTTGCTTTTAGTAAAAAATTAAATTAGTGAAAGAACGATTATTAATCAATGTATTTATATTCAAAAGAATCAATCGTGAAAATAAAAAAAGACTATAAAAATAATAAGATTTCTATTTTTTTCAATCTTGATCGAGAGTATTTATAGTAACTTTTGATGCATATCAATTGTAAAATCAATATGATTATTCATAAATCGACAAGTTAAATAGATTTGTTAATTAAACTTTAAGTTTGGTTGTGATATATTAAGTAAGTCTGTCAAAAATCTTATTTACATAATTTAGTTGATCATAAGTCTGTGTGTATATAACATAGACTAATTAAAAGTTACAGTGAATGGAAATGTATGTCTAGAAATCTTAGTTGAAGAGTTGGACAATTTCAACAAGTATGATCTAATTTATTTATTTATATATATATAAATAAAAGTATGATCTAGAAATTTTAAAATTTCCGAACGTCAATAACAGTCTTGCATGCTCCTTTTCGTACATATTAGATTGTATTCACTTAAATATTCACAATTTAAAATTATGGAAGCAATAACATCGGGTGTAGAGAATTATTGAAGCAAGAGGATGATCCTCTAACTCGTTAGGCTAGAAAGTTTCGGTTTTTATGGATTCTTTTGACATGTTTTGTCCTTCTAATGATAAATACCTCGAAATCCAAAGCTGAAAATTTAAAAAATGAGAAAGTCTTCTATATTGGAGTTTTCCCTATCCAAATAACGCATATTTAAAAAATTACCGAAAAAATTATCTCAAATCTCGTTGTCCTTCATTAATATGTTTCAGTTCTCATGCTCCTCTGCTTTTTATATTTGATAGTTTAGATACTCCTTTTATTCTTTCGGCTTCATATTATCAGGAACGATCCAGAAGATACTCACATGAAAATTAGTAATTTGCTATATCAGAAATTCGTATTCTAATCAATTAAATGGTATTTACAACAATAAAATAACACACATAAATTGAAAACCCGTAAAAATTTTGAAGAAAAAAGAATTACTTGCTTTTGTTGTTTAATAAAACAATTTTATTCCAAAACAGAATTGGAGGTTGAGCTTATGCTTCTTGTAACCCTACGGAACATAGATGTTGAACCATTCCTGGTCAAACCACCGGCTCCCCGATGAGACCTCAAACCCCTCAAAAACGACGTCACGTTTCTGACAACTCTCCTAAACCCATTCTCTCGTCTTCTAACCCCGACCCACGTAACCCTCCTCCGTGACCCATGCTCCGAACCCGAACCCGAACCCGATTCATCAAACCCTCCGTCCATCTCTGTGTACACAACGGGCACTTCTCTTTCTCCCCTAAACCTTCCCACCGCGAAAACCCCACCAGGTAACCTCCATATACTGAGTCCCACCGTCTCCGAAACGTCGTCAGTTGACTCGCTCCTATCCGAAGGCAATTCGTGGCGGCAAAGTGGGCATGAGTTTCGAAGCGAGAGCCATGGTATGATACAATCCTCGTGGTAAATATGTTTACACGGCATCTCCCTAGCTTCCGTACCGAGCTCAAAAGCTTCTTTACAAACGGCACACTGAGTTTCTGAACAAACATGGGTCTTTTCTATTTGAACCGTCGGCATTGATTCGATTGCCGATTTCGAAGCAGGTGGGTTCTCAGGATGACCCGGTCCGGTTATTTCGATCTGGGAGAGTTGTTCCAATAAACGATCAAAACCCATACCCATTAAAGATTCGGACATCGAAGACGGTATTGGTCTTAAACCGGACCCAGATCCATCGTCATAGAAGAATCCGAAGCCGCTGCCGTTATTTCCATCCGCGGTGCTGTTCTCTTCATCGCTTGAACCACGTAGAACAATGATCGGATTGATGTTAGACCGGTCAACGGAACCTCGACGATTCCTACGAAAAACAAGATTTCGAGTCCGATTCGAATTTTGACGGCTGTTATCGTTGCTGGTGATCATATACATGGCTTGAAATCCACGGTGCTGATTATCCGATGAGTCGATCTCCTCAATGAAACCACCGTCACAGTACGGGCATACAACGGCGGCGTCTGTCCGGTCTAAAGCCAACACACGAACCAGACGGGTGCAACTGTAACACCAATAAGACGGCGACGTTGAAGACATGCTTGAATCCCCCGATGCGAATTCCAGATCCAGAAAGAAAAGCAAATGCTAAAAGAAAAAGTAAAGAAAAAATGAGCTTGACTCAACTTTAAAGCAAAACGAGGACGCCTTGAAGTTTAAACGCCGTAAGGTATTTGATACCACGTGGCGTTTCAGGAGCGGAGAAAAAGATAAGAATTAACGGCGTTAAGGGATTAACCAGTCAACTTGGGACTGATATTGAAGTAGAAAACTGGGGTGAAAAGAGTTAAAAACTTAAGCTGTAAATATGTCGGGACGCCGAGTTTGAAATTCAAACAATTAGACGAGTAATGAGAAGCGCGTGTGACGTGCTGGAGCGTGAGTGGACAGCTGGCAGGAACTACTAGGAAGATTCTTTAAACCGAGGCAACAGGGGTGTCTTGTTCTGTCTTTGTTTGGCGCGTGAGATGGACCCACACTCTTATCAATAGGTATTATAGAAACCATAAAACTTGTGAACAAAAACATAAACCTCCCACAAAAATTATCCAAACTCTTTAATATAGTTTGAATTTATCTATTTAAAAATTAAATATATATAATAGATTATTTTTATATAAAAAAATTGTTTTTGAATATATATAATACATTCTTGGGTAAAGTGCACAAATGGTCCCGAATATAGGTTATTTTTTTTGTTGAGCTCCAAATTATAATGTATTATTTTGTTGAGTTTTTCGACCATTAAAAATTGTATAATGGTCATCTAACAATTTTTATGTTCCAAAATCGTCGTTTTTCGTTAAAAATGATAATAGTCTAAGCTAAAAGTTAATATGTTGACTGAGATAAGATAGTCATTTGAGATTTTGGAATCAAATTTTATCATATCACAGTTAGTAAGTTAACGTCCAACTCAGAGTGACGTCAATTTTTTAATAGAGAATGATGGGTCTGGAACATATGAATAGCAGAATGATCATTTTTGTAACTTTTAATAGTCGATGGATTCAACAAAACAATACTCTATAGTTAATGGACAATTTTATATATTTTAACACTTTGAAGATTCAACAAAGCAACACATTATAGTCGGAGGGACCATTTATGTACTTTACCCGTTTTAAATTATAAACAAAATTACCAATAAAATATCTACACCCCGGTATATTACGTTCAAAATTATGAAAATTCTAAGTTTCATTTCAGAATCTCTTTCTAATTTACTTTTGGGTTTTAAAATCCAACTCTTGATTTTGAAATTAACCAGTGAGTTTTGAAATTTACTTCACTTACAGAACTGTAACGACTAAATTTTCAAGAATTTTTGTTCTATTTTAAAATCATATATGCAAAGCTAGCATTTGATATTCTACGACGTTTAGAATCGATCCCAATAACTAAAGACTCATTACAGAATATAAAAGGACATCCAAGTTGTCGAGTATCACCGAGAAAGTGTTAACTAACATTCAAGACCCAAATTTAATGATTTGAGCTTCAACGTCATATTATTTGTTGTGGAAATACTTGGAAGTATTTGTTCTTTACTGATGAAGTGTTTCTTGGTTATGAGCTTCATCGAACAAATCATTCAAATCTTATAAGGTTTATTTTTTGTTTGCTCATATATATTTCTCTTTTGAGGGAGATTTGAACTTAAAATTTGGATAAAAATCTTAAAGAAGTTGTAAGATTAAACCTTTTTCTCAAAGGTTTAAATTCAAGTTAGTGTATTTAGAAAAACCTTTAGTGATAAAACTTTAAGGTGATGAATATAGAGAAATCAAACCATCCTCACAACAAATTGTAACTTATGCATGGAAAAAGTTTCAAACCCTCTACACAAAAATAAAAAAAATCATAAGGACTATATATTTTTTCAAACCCTCAACTCTAGAAGTTAAATCCTCCTACGAGCCCACCTATTATTTGATTATTAAGAAAACTTAATCACTAAAAAATGTTTTTTTTTGTTAAGAATTTCTATTGTTAATGAATATTTAAATAATATTCAACCAAAATAATTAATTAGAATCTCAACTGAATATTGATAATTTAAAATACAGATCTAACCATGTACAATTAAAAATTAAATAAATTCAGCGAGCAAACATATTTGTTTATATAATAAGTAAAATTAAAATGTATTAGTATAATCAGATTTTGAGCGAGGGATGAAAAGATTTGGGTTTGGGGTCGGCAATGATTGATGTTTGTTTCTCCTCCAAAAAGAATAATGTTAAAGTGTTTTTGTTGATTGTGGAAGTGCACGCCTTTAAAGTAATTTTGTTTGCATCTCTCTGTGTTCGATGATTACAGATTTTCACTTTGAGCCCCCTTTTTGGAATAATCTTAATTTTCTTCTTATAAGCTCAATAAAATATCTTTCACATGCTGATTTACACAATCTTTTTAAACAACAATGCACTTATGCAATACTCGGAACTACCAACATGTTTTTTATGTTGTTTTCAATGAAATATTATCCTCTGTTTCGAATGTAAAAGGCAAATTTCAAAAATGGACAAAATTTTATACGAATTTATAAATTTTTTAAAAAATAAAATTGATTAACAATTAAAAATCTAAAATATATGACAATTTAAAATTTTTAAAAAACGACTATCCTTAAACATCACTCTAGATTTATCCTGGACAATTTTCATGGTTTTCTTATAAGAAGGAAAAAATTATTATATATAATTATAATCTAATCTAATCATTTACAATCTTATTAGAACCTCCTAAGAAGCTTAGCATATTATTAGAGGCAAACGCTAGAGGGGATGGGAAGCTGAGAATGTAAAAATAGTTTCTCTGCGCGATAGCTGTTGTACCATATATATATATATAATTTTAATTTAACCTTGATTTATAATATTAATTATTTTTAAAAGGAATATATTCGAGATGGATAAAAACAAATCATTAAATCAATTTACAAAACAATTTGAGTTTGGTATCACATGTAAACTAGGGGTGTATTTGATACACTGAATATGCATAATTTTATGTCCTGATAGTATATCGAATATCAATCCTTAATATTATTATAATGATAATTTTTTTTTATAATTTTTTAAAACAGTATGGATTGATTGCAAGTAATATTTGTCTATATTTTTTTTCTTAGTAATTAACAAAAACACACCTTACAAATATAATTGTTCGAACCTAAGACGTAAAACCTCTAAGGAGAACAATACATCTCTTACCATTGAGATTGCTTAATGAATTCTTATATAAAATTTTTAAATAAAAAATAATTGAAAATTATACTCGTAAGAATGAAACCTATGTTTGATAAGTTTAATATATAAATTATTTATTATTTTATCTATAATTATTGTTGAATAAATTTTTAAAAATAACTTTTTCATGAAAATATTTTTCTTATTTATATTATTGGTGTAATAAAATTTGTTTTGTACTAATTAATGTCTAAAGAGACCGGTTAAGATGGATTGTGTAAGAATGGTTATGAAATAAAAAAAATTCACGGTCTGAAAAAACATTTGATTGGACCTAACCATTATACAGTGACTAAATGAATTACAATATACAACTAACCTTCATATCTTTTAAGTATTTTATTTTTTTGTATTACAAATAAAATTAAAACTCTAAACAATAAATTCTAGGGTAAAGTATCCACACTCACAAAACTATAAGATTGATTCTATTTTAACCAGAGAACTATTATTATTTTAATTAAATTACTAAACTTTTAAAAAAAAATATTAGTTACATTTGATAGAAATGATGTGGCAGTTAAGTAATTTTAAAATTATACATTTAATTCTTCTTACTTACATGTTATATCAATTTAGTCATAATTTTAATTTAATTCAATTTAACTCACCAAATCAAATGATGACACAAGTAAATAATGAAGATAAAATACATAATTATACAAATTATGCAGTTATCATCTTATTATTTTTGTTAAATATTAACAACCAATAACTTAATTGATATTATTTTAATAGTTGAATAGTTTACTTAGAAATATAATTCAATGATTGAAATAAAAACAGTTCTATAATTTAATGACTATATAGAAACTTTATCCTAAATTCTAACGTATGGATAGTAGATATGGAATTTGGTGTTCCTTCTTTTATTCCATACCACATATTTCTGTTGCGGAATACGGCTATTAGATAGAGTAAAATCGTAACTGATAATTTGAGAAAATAAAAATGAAGATAAAGAAGACACAAATTTTTACGTGGAAAACCCCTAAATAATATAGGGTAAAAACCATGGGCAACGGTAGAATAATTTCACTATGAGAAAATAGGAATTACAACTTCTCTCGATATAATAAGGAGAAAACAATAACAATTCTCTCTTGATAAAAGGAGAAAACAACTCTCAAGAAAACTCTCTAAATTCTCTAGTATTGGGAGAAAGCTAGAATAATTTGGGATGGTTTTGAAGCTAAATGGGTTAGGGTATTTATAGTTAAAGCTTAAGGACTAATCTTATAAATATTCTAAAGTAAATGGATTAATTTAGCAATTTTACCATGCCATAAAATTAAACAATTCAGTGAATCAGTGCTGTCAACTATACAATGCACTTTCGGTGCATTATTCAATAATTTCGGTAAATCATTGCTGCCAACTAGCTTGGCAACTTTCGGTGCTTGCATGGAAACCTTCAATAATCTCCCACTTGAAGATTTGATTGGAACAATCATATCTTCACACCATTCTTTCTACCTTGTACCATCATGTTGCTTACGTCTCTGACAAGCCATAAGAGGATCGACACCAAGTAAATTTATCAGCATTGATCGCCTTCGTCATGAAATCTGCTATGTTATCTTTGGTATGGATATTCTGCATATCTATCGTCCATTCTTCCATCTTTTCACGAATGAAATGGTACTGAACTCGTATGTGTTTTGTCCATAAATGAAATGTTGGATTCATTGCTAGATGCAAGGCGCTTTGACTGTCACAAAATAGAGAGACATACTCTTGATTGTGCCTAAGCTCCTCCAATAGCATCTTCAACCAGATTGCTTATTTACTGGCTTGCGTAGCTGCTACATATTTTGCCTCTGTTGTGAATGTAGCCACAACTTACTGCAATTTTG